GGGTTTAGGGCTTAGGGGTGTAGGTTTCAGGGTCTTTGTTGGAAGACCCCTTTTTCCATCCAGCAATCTGCAAGCAGCCGTACAGAGAGCCTATTAGAGGCCGGCTCCCCAGTCCGTTGACCAAGGGAAAGCGTCTAATGTAGGGTTTAGGGTTTAGGGTTTAGGGTTTAGGGTTTAGGGTTTAGGGTTTAGGGTTTAGGGTTTAGGGTCCTTCATAGTTTGAATCGGGCTTCGGAGTATAATATACTATAGTTATGATAAGGAACCTCGAAAAATAGTATAGGTAACTCTTTAGGCCTCTATATTAGGCTGTAGGCTTTACGAACCCATGAGGCTCAGGGCCCTGTATAAGCCCTGAAACCGCAAAAAAGCTCGAAAGCACATCGAGAGAGAGAACCGGACACTAAACTCTAAAACGAAGCCCTGCACCCTAAACCCTGAACCCTAAACCCTAAACCCAAAGCCTGAACCCCCAAACCCTGAAGCCCTGAATCCGAATGCCTAAGAGTGAAACCCTACGCCCCAAAACCGTGAAGCTGCAGAGAGCCGAGCGAAGATTGTGCCAATGGATACAGGCTTTAGGGTTTAGGGTTTAGGGTTTAGGGTTTAGGGTTTAGGGTTTAGGGTTTAGGGTTTAGGGTTTTAGGGTTCAGGAACTCAGGGGTTTTGGGGTTTAGGGGTTTAGGGTCCAAGGGTTTAGGGGTTTAGGGTGTAGGGTTTCCGGTAGTTCAATTTCACACCCCCTGTACGTCGACCGCTTGGGCTTCGATCCGGTCTTCCCACACAGGGTCGAAGTGGCCTTCACCTGGCCACCTGTCGGACAAGTCTTAGCCTTGCCTGCCGTGTCCCGCTAAACCCAAAACCCGAAACCCCTCTTCTTCCCGGAACTCTGATCTACGACGGTGTCCTCGTGCCAGTCGCGGATATGATGAGGTCGAAAAGGAGACTCAAACCCCTAAACCCTTAAACCCCTAAACCCTAAACCCTAAACCCCTAAACCTCTAAACCCGAAACCCTTAAACCCTAAACCCACCCCGAAACTCCTAAACCCCTAAACCCCTAAACCCCTAAACCCTAAACCTGAAACCCCTAAACCCTAAACCCTAAACCCGGAAACCTAAACCCCTAAACCCTTAAGAGGTGAAGACCTGCAGCGTCGAGCTGTAGGGTTTAGGGTTTAGGGTTTGGGGCTCAGGTCTCTGGGGTTTAGGAGTTCGGGTCTTTGGGGTTTGGGGCGTCAGGATTCAGGGCCTCAGGGTTTGGGGTGAAGGGCTTTGGGTTTAGGGTTTAGGCTTTCGGGTTTGGGGTTTAGGGCTTAGGGTTTAGGGTTTAGGCTTCAGGGTTTGGGGTTTAGGGCTATTTTGGGATGTGGGGATGTAGGATTTGGGGTTGCCCAGGCCGGCAAAAGGAAGATGTAAATGGCAACAGCAAAAACAAACCATGGTAAGCATATCTAACCCGAAGTACAACCGATTGCACTCAGCACTGAAACATAAAATGACACACACTCTCTCACTCAAGAATAAGGCATCTTACTCTTATATGCAGATAGATACGTAGATATTCCGAGTGGGTTTAGGGAATGGGGGTTTAGTATCTAGCTTTCCTGCACCGAACTCCTGACTCCAAAACCCTACACCCTTCTCTCCGCACCCTTGTCTCTGATCTAGGCGCATTCATCATTAGAACAGGGTTCGGGGGTATAGTCTATTACAACTAATTATACAGGAACCATGAAGGAACATTAGTTTAGCACTCATTCTTCCCACCTCCAAATAACCCGAAGTCGAAATCCCGGGTCAGGCTGGAGCACGGCAGTGGGTAGTTCGGGCTTTTCACGCAGTGGCCAATCGCCACACAATCTCCCGAAGTCACCTCATCGCTTCCAAGCCCCCCGAGAGGGTTTCTCGTCAAACGTGTGTTTTTTGTCTTGAAATTATGCTGGGTCCGAGATGGGCCTTGGGGCTTCTTGGGCGTGGGTTTGGGTGCTACTTAGAAGGTCATGAAACTTAGTAACTAGGGTTATTCGCATACCTATACGTATCTCAGAAAATAACCCCAATCAAGGTACTGATAACCTTACTTACTAAGTATCATGAACCTCGAGGCGGGGTGTTGGTTTTAGATTTCGGTCCGGTCGGCTGTTCCTTCTGCATCCCTCAGAACTTAGGGCTTAGGATTTGGGGGTTGGGGGGACCCAGGTCGCAGCAGCCCGTAGGTGCTTCCTTAAACCCTAAACCCTACACCCTAAACCCTAAACCCTAAACCCTAAACCCTAAACCCTAAACCCTACAGTAGACCCTAAACCTAAACCCTAAACCCTAAACCCTAAACCCTAAACCCTAAACCTAAACCCTAAACCCTAAACCGTCTTAAGCCCTGAGCCGTAATCAACTTCCGAAACTCCTCCAACCCTAACCTCCAAGCCATGAGTCCTAAACGTTTAGGGTCTAGGGTAGTTCGGGTTTAGGGTTTAGGGTTTAGGGTATTTCGGGTTTAGGGTATTTCGGGTTTAGGGGTTTAGGGTTCTTAGTCCCGAAGCCATACGGCCAGAAGCTTAAACCCAAAGGCCCTTTAAGCTCAAACCCCTTAGCTTCCTTCGGAGTTGAGGGAGGTCTGGGCTGTGGATTCGGGCAGCAGGGACGTTAGGAGTTTGCAAGAATTGCATTGGGCTTTACCTGATAAGACTACGCATGTTCATTGTCGGGAGGGAGGCGTGTATTACGAAATATATTGGGGCAGCCGAAGCCTAAACCCTAAACCTTAA